CTGTAATTCGTGGGTTGTCCGTTCTTCACGTAATCCAAGAATTATGTCCACCGGATGTCTTGGAATGAATCGACGACTATCAAATGACGATTGACGACTTCCTGCAACCCTCCGATCAAAATTTGGCAGCGAGCGGGCCAGCTGGCCGGGCATGCGAGCTCCGGCAAGCCTCAGCCGCGACCAGCAGCCACTGGGCTTGCAGCCCAGTTCACCTAGCGATTCGCGCGCAGCCTAAGGAGAAAGCCGCGTAGCCCACGCCAGCAAGAAGCCCGTCAGCGTGCGTGATCCATTGGCGAGAAGGCCCAGCGCACAAGGATAAGCCCTGACGCAAACGAGCGAGGCCCAGAGTTGCGAAGCCCATCTGTGAGGCAGCTCCAGCATGCGGGCTGCATCCATCCCGTGCGCATGTCTTCAGCCCGCGTGCGTCGCCCTACTTTCAGCGGCCTAGCGCGAGGCCCGCACGTCGTCCAGCAGCCCAATGAAGTCAAGCGCGACCCAATGCATGCTCTAAGCGCGGCCCAGTACGTGGACAACCTTCTAGCGCTGCCCAGCGTGCACAGACCCGGCCCAACTTGCATCAAGTGGTCCAGATCCTATTCAGAACGATTCAGCAAGGGTCCAACACCTAGTTCCAGTCCAAGTCGAGTCTCAGAAGGTTTGGCCAAGTCAACAGAGGTCAAGGATGATTCAACGTTGATGGTGAGCGACCGGTGACTCGAGACGAGCGACACGGTTGGGGTCTGATGACGGTGATGCCAAGTCCGATTGTCCAACAGACTATGCGTGTCAGATTATCTCCAACAATGAAAATCAGAAACGTATCACAGTGGGCAAAATTAAAAACGATATGCGTTGAGGGTTTATTTCGTAGTTAGTCCGTAACTTGCATTATTTCGTCGATCACAACCAGTCCCAACATTTGGAACTCTCCTTGTGCCTTCGATTTTTTTATGAAAATTGTGAGAAAATGTGAATTTTTGAAGCCTCTCTTATGCCTTGAACCTATTAATATGAAAACAGATTTCTGGCCTTTGGTTTAAGTTGAAAATCCCAACCCTTAGCCTTGGTAAAAATTAGAGTTTTATAAGCTTAAAATAGCCTTGGTTGACGGAAAAAGTTGCCGCCGGCCGGCTAAATTCGCCGGAGAATTTCCTTAGTTGGGCCAACCGGCACTGGGCTCCCAGCAGGTAGCCGTGCGCACCGCGTGCAGACCGGCAGCGGCCGCACGCTGCGCTGCAGAGACCGCAACATCTCGTGCACGATGTCAGCAGTGTCGTGTGCTCGACTGTGAACAGTGCAGCAGCGGCCGTGCGTTCTGCAGTCACAAGCATCCTTCCAGCGACCCGCGCCTGTGCGAGCCACTAGCAGCCAGCGCGGTCGGACTCGAGCTAGCGCCCAGCCGCGCGGACTAGCGAGCCTCACCTCGAACTGTTGTGCCATTTTTTAGTCGTTTGAACAGTTTTTCGTGTCGGACTGTATTTTTAGACTTGTGAACATTTTCCAATCTTTTCTCCGTTAATCGAGAGTTCTGAAGTTCCACAAATTTTAAGAAGTCCTTAATTTTGATCAAGTTGAAATTCAATAGTTTCCAAGAAAATGAGACAATTATTTATAAAAATTATCTTTCTTAAATGTAGATTTTCGAAGAGTCTTGCCCTCGAACCTACTGTGAAGCATCTGTATAATTTGTCATTTTCCGAACTAAGGTGGGTGTCTCTAATTTACTATTTCTTTATTCTTTATAATCACAAGTTTTATAATTAATGTATGTATATGAATCATGTGCCTAATGAGAGGCTATAAATCACCATTGGCCCAATGAAAGGCATTCAATTGAACTCCCATCGTTGAGTGCTGTTTCGACCACGATAGTGCCTAATGAAAGGCAATCTCCATTTTCCTAATGAGAGGCAGTGCCTAATGAGAGGCATTCAGTTGTTCTCCCGTCGTTGAGTGCAGTTTCAACCACGACGGTTTAAGGTGTGTATACATGAGACGGATGGATTGGATGGAGAAGTATGTAACGTGACGATTATGATTGATGTTCATACTTCGATTATATTATCTGTTATTATACTGAGTAATTGCAATAGTAGGTGAGCTAGTTGTTTGCTCATCCCATTATTATTATCTTTTCAGGTTGAGTAGCTGACTGCGGTTACGAGGAGACAAGTGTGGTCTCTATTTATGTTGAAACTACGGATATGATTTTTGTTTCGAGACTGTTTATGAATGAATGTTTTATTATGTCTCGAGTTGTTGAAAATGAATGGTTTGGGAAAATGAATTCCCTAAGAGCTTAAGGGACGACTTAAGCTAAGTTAAAAAGGAAAGAAATTGCCCGAAATATGTTTTATTTTAAAAAATATTTTCAAAATTTCAACAATTTCTGAAAACCGAGCGTTTTCTAAAGAAAAAATAAGCGGGCGTTACATTTGGTGTCTTATGTCATGTGCTATATGAATTTTTAATTTGGTACATATTGTAATAGTATATGAATTTTCACATTATAGATCGCACTTTATAAAACAACATATGTTACATTTAAGCTCAGGACATTTTGGCGTACTGAAAAAGTTGTACCTGTTGCACGACAAAAAAACATAAAATAAAATAAATTCTCAAGTATAGTTTGTAATTGTAATTAGAGAACAAGAAACTAACATGGTCCCAACCCATGACTTCTCTTATGGATGTTTCAATTTTATTGAGCTGGGTCATTCAGTGGATAACTGAAAAGTAGAATTCATTGGCAAAACCAACAGTGAGAAGAAGTAATTTTCAACTATTCTAGTATGCAATACATACTACTTTCATGAAGTAAGAGAATGACTTAAAAAATAAGAGAGACATCAAACAATATCATGGGATAGCAAACAATTTAAACGAATTCGACAAAATGCACAACTATATGCAACACAATTAAAAGGTTGGAAATTTAATGGCAAACTAAAAAATATTGGAATTTATTTGCAATTTAGTAAAATGTCAGGATTTTTGAAACAATTAAGTCTTTATGATATCTATCATTTCGAAAAAAATGAAAAAGAAAGTATTTAAACATCTTTAGTAATAAAAAAATAAGTTTTAGTTTATCTTAAATATTTTACAAGGCACACTGAAGTCCCAAATCTACCCCTGCCCTATTGGTTGTAACTTTTGTACCCTCCACTCATTTCGACCAATGCTCGCAGGAGCAGTCCGGCAAAAGCAAAAACTCCCCATCAAATATTAATTCTTCGCCTATCGAAGGCCATTTCATCGCACCCCAAACCCAGAAATCTCGAATTTTACCCTGAAAAAAAAAGGGTCTTGATCAAATGGGCAGCTTAGGAAGAGCTGTGTACACCTTAGGAAACTGGATTCGGGCGACAGGTCAAGCCATGGATCGAGTGGGCTTCAAGCTCCAAGGGAGTTACTACATCCCGGAACAAAGTATGTCTTTATCAGTTTTTCATTTTGGAAAAAAGAAAATCGAATATGCCCTGAAGCGAGAAGGACCTGCATTTGATAGTTCCTTTTATGTTTTAACCCGTTGCTCATTTTTGTATAGTAATTTAGACGAAGGTTAGTGTGTGAGATGTGTAATTTAGGACATATTATGATTTGTGTCCTTGTGGAGTTGTTCAAAAGCCTAGTTTCGTTACATTATTCTTTTTCTTGGTCGTTTCTGTGTGTGGGCGGCAGGTTGTGAGCGATTGTGTGTGGTGAGATCTAAATGGGATTTTTAGAGGAAAGAGGAAATGGGCCTCTGTTCTGTTAATCTTTTTCCGTATTTATCTGGTAGGAGATGAAACTTGAGCTACAAAGTTCTATGATTGCTCGATTAATTTCAGAACTTTGTCATTTGGATGCATTCTCGTTGTTTCTCACAGATTAATCCTATCATAGAGTGGAGTATAAATGTCTAAATTAAAAACTTAATCTTTAAGGATTCCATGCTTATGGTGTTGGGTTTCTTATGTCTCTATCTTGTCAAGAAGGTTTACTATAAATGAACTACCAACTAATACAGATTTGCACCGAAGACACAACATATGCTATTGCTACCAAATTGAAAGTCTGCATTTTGCTTATCATTGTTTATTTAGAATGTGGAATTCCGTGCTGTGGTTATTCGTGAAGAAACTATAATTAAGGATGATGGATAGTTATTAGCTAAGGGTGCTTATCTAAATTGAGGACAAAAAAGAGACAATTGTGATACAGAGAATCAGAAAATTGAATAATATAATGGTAATTCTGTACCGTGGCAGGTATTGATAGGTAACTCATGTGAGTATCAAAATTTCATCTTTTTAACTGCATTGACACTTTTTATTTCAGTTCCTACAACTAAAACCAAGAGTGATCAATATAGTAGTTGCATCACAAAGCCCTTGGTAAACTATTTTTTAGTGTTTCTAACCACATAAGAGATCAAACTCTTTTGCAGACATATCCTCACCAAATATGTTTTCTATGATAAAATTCATGAACAAAGAACCCACTAGATCTTGATAAGTATTCATGATATAGTAATATAACAGTAATATTGTTCTATGTGATATGGCAAACGTGATTAGTTCATTCGTAGTATCAGTGAAGCTCCAAGGGATATGTTATAAGAAAATCAAGACACAAATTCACTAAAATTTTCTTGCCATTATAACTAAGTGAGATCAGTTGCATACGTAATCATGTTGACTGGGTTTTAATAACTTCAACTGTGAAGGAGGACTCCATTTTTCTCTGTTTTCATGTGCGCAACAATTTAGGATATCCTCAATCTTTATTCCTTAAATATAATAAAACAAGACAAAAAGATCAATGTAGAAGTGGGTCCACATCTTTATGCTTCACAGGATCCATCTAAGACTCTGATATTTGTCATTTTCATATCATTGCCTTCCTCACTCGAAAACACCCTTGGATGCATCATTTACTTCCGATAGAAAGTGTGAATGTATGATCCGCATGGAGCTCTTTTGTCATATCCTTCTGTTGTGTTATGAAGTAATAGAGCATATAAATTTTGATATTTATAAGAATCCTAGCATTGCCATTTTCTCTTCAAGAGTCTTTTGAACTTGGGTGAAGTCCATTTGGTGTTTGAGTACCCCAGGATGAAAAGCATGAAGAAAATAAGACCAAATCTGACATCAAATTAACCCATCACTCTGTGCAACTGTACTTGGAATTTATGGACTTTGTGATTTTTAACTCTACTTACATTCAAGTAGCTTAGATAGATATTCTATTTCCCTTTTTACATGCGTTTTACATAGGTATTTTCGCTTTCAGTTTCTAGACATCGGACACTGATGGCCATTTTCGAAAAATCTCCTGTGGTTGATAAGGATGCATTTATTGCTCCAAGTGCCTCTGTAATCGGGGATGTTCAGGTCGGACGAGGATCATCCATATGGTATGGGTCAGTTCTTCGAGGTAAGTGACAAGTAAACAAAGTCTATTGATGCCTCATGAATATTTACATTGCCATATTTAGAACCTCAGATATTTCTGAATGATGTACTACAAAAAAAGATGATTCGGTTAGGTGCTGAAGAAACAATTTTCTTTTGCAACTCGTACACTGTTGTATAATAGCTCAGGTCTGTCAATAGTGAGTTGAAAGATGTTTGTATTTTAAGACTAGTATTGTGTTTTTGTTTAAGAAACTAAGTATATGTTATATTTGACAAAAATCATCGAGGTTTCTTGCTGTTTGCTATGGTATTTTTGAATCATCACAAAAAGAAAAAAAAAAAATATGTGCAACTATTTTGGGATAATTAAGTAGGCTTCTCTGGATTAAAATATTTAGTTTGGAAGAGAAACTTGAATTAAACAGTGTACTGCAAGATATAGGCAACAACAAACACGGTTTAATCTCCACCTTTCTCTTTAGCTTTTTCTGAATACATGTTTGCATGAAGTCGAGGTCAGTTTAGCATGTGGGGAGCACTATATAATGTTGATGACGTGTGGATTGTGTTAAGTTCTGAAACAATTGAAATTTCTCTTCAATCAGTAGATAAGCTATTGTCGAGAAAAAATTAAATTTCAAGGGCATTGATTACACTCTTGATAAAGCAATTTTACTTTTGGAATTATCCTTCATCATATAATTGCCTAAGTTGGTGCTTTCTTCTTTCGTTTTCAATGCAAAACCTCTGCTTATCACCAATATGTAACTCTATTGTCGAACTTTCTTATATTTTCACTGACAGATTTCAAATGTGAAGAAGACTCATATACCTTCTTTTCATTTGATTTGGCTTTTCCCGAGAAAAAATAAGAACTTGCGGCTTATGTTTTATCTCACGTTACTTTCCAGGGACTTGTAATTTACAAAGGAATAAATGCCTTGCGGAAATAGCAGAAAAATGGAGTAAAGGAAAAATAAACACACATGCACATGATGTTGTTGTAAAAAAGAAAAAAGAAAATTATAT